GTGTGTGTGTGTGTGTGTGTGTGTGTGTGTGTGTGTGTGCACGCGCAGGAGAGCCAGTGCAGTGCACAGCGTGGTTGGGCCAGTGTATCCTCTACATCCTCATCATGGTGTTTGAGAAAGTCCTTATCATGCTGGTCCTCCTCATCCCCCAGTGGAAGAAGGTCAGAAAAATAAAGGAGTTAAACCCATTTGAAAACAAGAGTCTCCAGAAATGTCATGATGATCATGAAGTGTTCTCTCTCAGTTTTTATTAGCCTGATTTTGACCCCATCAGAGGGATTTGTCAAGGAAAAATACCCTTTATTTACACTATAATAAAGACTATACAGCAGCAGCTCTCACTCCCCATGTTGCTCTGTCAGCTCCCGTCACTGTCGCTGTTTGCTCCATTTGAAAATACTTGGCGGGTTTTGCATTAACTTGCTGAAGATGCAGAGTATTGTGATCAACAAAGAGTGAGAACTAATACACTTGATGAATTTGGAAAAACTCATTACACATTTGAATTGACACTTCTGTTTAGGTTTCACACATTAAGCTGGTTTCATGTGTGCATGTACTGTGTGTACACACCTTTTCTTGAAGTCAAAGATAAGTGCTTTTACATTGGGGATGATTGTTCAGCCTTTTCAGGGCATTCTCTCTGTAATCCCTGGTGTAAATGTGCCATCGTTCCTGCTATTTCAATGTGAATGTAGTAGGAGCATAAGTGGCCCGTTTTTCTTCGCACATGAATGGCGAGGTGATCAAGTGGTCTGGAAAGCTACGGTTCAACACAAAAGTCTCCAGATAACCCTCTTCAATCTTATCAACAAAGGTGTTTAATGCTTAACCAAAAGCAGATTACTGTATCATTTGCATCCATATTTATGTGCTGTAAATTTCCAGCTGCCTTTCTTAGCGCTAATGTGTCTCTTTGTGTGTTTTCCTCCACCTGTAGACCAGTGTGGAACATGAGTGTGTATCGCTACACCTGTCTATGTAGTTATGTGTAGTTCTTATATATTACACAGTGTGATATCCAGAGTTCTGAACGTAACATTACAATTGAGAAAGACATTATTGCGTTTTCCCTGACTGGGAATCAAACCCAGGCCGCGGCGGTGAGAGCTCCGAATCCTAACCACTACTAGACCACCAGGGACATCTGTTGAAGCTTCAGAACATGGCCTACTAGTGGTCTGTAGAAACGGCACCAATGGCTATGAATGTGATACCACAGTAGTTATTTTAAACTTGAGAATAAGTCCTATTTAGCTCCATCTACCATGCACATGCAGAAATGTTTGCATTTTGATAGCCTGCCAGGCATTCAGCTTTTCTTTTGTAAAGGTCGAAGGACATCATTACAATTAAACATTTTAATCTTTTATTGATGCATATACAGATGATGATGATGATGTTCCAAGTTGTGTTGTGTGCTCCAGGCGACCCTCCTTCTACTTTATTATTGCTCCTACTGAGCTCTGAACTTTTAGTCTGAGGCCTGGAGTGCTGTCTGTGTTTCTGTGTATATGCTTATGTCTGTGCTTGTGTGTGTGTGTGTGTGTGTGTGTGTGTGTGTTGTATTTGTTTGTGTTTTTGTCGCAGCTGACTCTCCTCAACCCCATAGAGAATCCTGACTTGGAACTGGCCATCGTCATGCTCATCGTTCCGTTCTTCATCAACGTAAGTCCGCTGTTACCATCTGGTTGTTTTTTTTGCACCCTGATTTTACAGCTCCGGTTACACCAATACTGCACGTGTCTAGAATTTGTTCGTTTACCCTGGCCACTAAATGTAAAAACATGTCTGAGTTTCAGTGTATAATATAAGAAAAATCCCCTCTTTTAATATCATTCACAGTATTTTCTGTGTTTTCTTTTAGGCCCTCATGTTCTGGGTGGTAGATAATTTCCTAATGAAGAAGCACAGGACAAAAGCAAAGCTGGAGGAGAGAGAGGAGGACTCACGTGGGAACAGCAAGGTGCGCTACAGACGAGCTCTGTCCCATGACGACTCCGAGTCAGAGGTAAGTCTCACTAGTAATGCAGACACCTTAGTGACAAGAAAGGAACTTGCTTGGTACTAGTTCTGCACTCGCTCAGTCTGAAGAGGAACGTGTTCTCGAGCTGTTTCGGTGGCCTAGATCATGGTTCACTACCAACCATCCGTACGCCAACCAACACACGAAGTCATGACACCAGTCTGGCATGAGCTTATTTCCATTTCAACGTTTACCCTCGATGTCTCACACAAATCTGGGCTGTGGTTGAAAAGTGTTTTTTACTTAAGACGGTTCCTAACTGAGTGAAATGACCCGAAAGTATTTTAACGACGAGAGCTAGTCGAATTTTCTAAATGCAAAGGAAAGATGCTTCATTGCTTCCTTTCTTATCTCCTTTAGCTTAGGGAACACTGGAACACTTTACGAAAAGGAAAGGCGATAATACCCCCCCCCCCCTCCACAATTCCTTGCGGCAGCAACCTTCTGAAGTGACGCACCCTTGACAAATTCTACGCTTTGTTTGTACTGATTTAGAAATTATTTTCATAAAGTTCTATTATAATGGGACTTATGTTGGTGAATGTGAGTCACAATGACTCATAACTGACAGCCATTTTGTTTCATTTGATTCATGTTTATTTATTTTGAACATGTAACACATCATAATGACACATCGTATCATATTTAGTGGAGTCGGCTTCCCTGAGCACCGCAGTTGTCTCTTCCTGAATCCTTATGAATCCTCCTTCATATCTTTCCTCCAACTCAGGACTTTTCGACCGTAGGGTTCTTCAAAGGCCGCATGTATGCATGTATGAATGATGAACTACAACACTGTTTCTGATCACGCATTCTTGATAATATGATGTTCCCTGACCGGGAATGGAATCCAGGCCGCGGCAGTGAGAGCGATGAATCCTCACCACTAGACCTCCAGGGACGTCTGTGTATGTTCTCATTAATAATAATAACTTTATTTAAGGGATGCGCTGTGTAATCTCTGGCCTTTGATGGAGTCCAACAGTGGTCGGAGTATCACATACGGCCTCTAGTGGTGTTCCTGTGGAACTTTGTGATATCTGGTACTGAGACGTTTTCACAACAACATAAATAGATATTAGAGATGAATTATGACCTCTTTACACTAGCTCTAAGCAGTTTATAATACATTATTAAAACTACTAATTACAAGATTTGTTTTAATTCATAAAAATACAATATTTTATTACATCATCATTTAAATAGTGTTTTTTCATGAAGAAAAAACCCCAATATAGGTGACTTAACAAAGTGAAAGGATACATTTAGAATTTTTGATGGTTTACAGACTTCAGAGTTGAAATGATTATTGGGACGCTATAATCAAACAACAATCTGGTAGTTAGTATCGGTGGCAAAAAAAAAAGTTATATTTGCTCCCTTTTTATCTTTTGTGCTGATCCGAACCGTGAGTTTTATGATCCGTTGCACCACAAGTTGTCACTCAGGACTTCTATCACAGAGAAGTCCAGCACGGTGGAAGGACACTCACACTGATGAAATTATACCGATGATTTCATACAAATAGATTTCAACCACTAATTCATCATAGTCGCAAGCTCCAGCTACTGTTGCTCAGAGCAAGTTGTGGCACTCTGTCTTTTGTGTTATCATTGCAATTGAGCTCACAAGACGACAAGGAAGAGAAGGATGAACAGAAAAAGAAAGGAAGAGGGAATAAGGATGATGATAACGATTTTGTCTATTTGTGAGACCAGAAGGCTAGTAAAGAGCAGGCAGCTGATTTAGTGCAGTAGCTGTGAAACCCTTGAAAGATTTGTTCCCAGGCCGGGAATCGAACCGGTGGCCACGGCGGTGAGAGCACTGAATCATAGGCACCTTATCACCAGGGAGCTGTGAGGGCCTTTGTTACACCATGACCACCAACTGAATCTGTCATATCTAATATTAATTTGAACAGATGAGTCCCTTTATGTGAGACTTAAGTAGGACACTCTGTTATGACCAGTTTAACAATACAGATATAAAAAGAACCCGTCACTTCCTTCTTGTTGGAGTTAACAGCAGCTCGTAATGAATCGTCTCCTCATTTGTTATGAGTGATGTTGATTTATAACCCAAACATGCGTCACTTCTCTGTTTAACTGCTGTTGAACGGGCTGTTGCACATGGTGGTATTGTTCCTTCTATGGTCCTATAATGAGGCGCGATAAGTACAGGTCAGACAGAAGTCAAAACGAAGTAATCACGTGTGCGTGCAGGTTTGGGTTTTCTGATATTTGTGAAAGTTATTCGTTGTGCAAAATGATTTAAACAACACAGTGTTGTTTCTGTTATGAATACTAGTTGCATTTCTGGTCAGTGGGCCACATGTTGATACACTTTTTCAGCTCGTGAAAGGAAATGTAAAGCTGCGTTACGGGGCTTTTTAACATGTCAATAGTCAAAGCGGTGCAAACAAAAGCCAGCTTCATGGTCTGGTTCACTAGTCGCTTGTGTTGTGCAGCTAACCCTGGGGAGCATGCTTTCAGCAGAGCGCTAAACGGTGGGGGATGGGCGAGCTGTGCGAAACAGTTGTTTTTCTGTTCAGCAGCAGAGTGTGATCAGAGGCCGGGCTAGTGGCGCAATGGATAACGCGTCTGACTACGGATCAGAAGATTCTAGGTTCGACTCCTGGCTAGCTCGAATTTTTTGCTCTTATGTGCATATTAGGCTGAAATGTTTCACTAGCTAATGTTATGAGGGACAGAAAATAACTGTTATTAATAGATGACTAAATGTATGTCAAATGTCATGTTCTATTTTTACATTCAGGGCTTCTATTGAGGTTTTTTGAATGAAGCTTTGAAAGTCTGTTATTATGTGGTGAGCCTCTCCTGTGTGTGTGTGTAAGTGTGTGTGTGTGCGATGGCAGGCGTTAATGTTGTTTTGAGAGGCTGAATGCCAACAAATATGGATCGAAGCAGGATATTGCATATATATGTATGTATGTATGTATATATGTGTATGTATATATGTGTATATATATATATGTGTATATATGTATATATATATATACAGTATATGTGTGTGTATATATATATATATATATATATATGTGTGTGTATATATATACATATATGTGTGTATATATATATACATATATGTGTGTATATATATATATATATGTGTGTG